GTCAGAGGTGCTGCCCTGCGAGGTAAGAGGCATCCCTCTCCATGTGCTCGACGGTTTGTGTCCGAAAATAATTTCATTATGCAAATGATTATTATTTTTCTCCGAGAATGTTACAATGACATCTGCACATCGTCGCTTCTTATCTCCCAGCCGCCACCTGCACAGGGCACACTCCGACCATGCAACCGCCAAGGTCGCCGACCACATCGTGCACGTCCACGCCATCGACCTCGGCGGACGGTGGCGCAATGTTCGTCAGTATGTCCTGTTGGTCGAGGAGCGCGAAGGAAGTGGGTTGAGGGAAGTGGGGGCGGCGGCAGAAGCAGCATGGGTGTCCTACGGTGAGCGCTTTGAGGGATTCTGCAGAGCAGTTCTCCCCGGAGGCCTGATGCATCCAACCGTACAAGGTAGTTGCGCCACTTCCCTGTGATGGGTAGGCCTTATATACATCTTGGCAATTCCCTGTTATGTTATCTAAATCTCGGCCACGTATGAGGCAAAAACCACATGCACCATTGTCTTCTACTATCTCCTTGCAGTAACTTCAGTTGCTTGTAGCCAATGGGATCTATGCTATGAGGGAACATACATGTCAGGGCACATGTGCGTCCATGGGTCCTCTTTGTATTACTGCATGTTGGTCTGTTATCATGCGACACAGACCTGATGGTTGTTAGAATGCTGAAAGAGACGACTTCATTAGTTCATCCAGTAGTTTCTTGCTGCTGTGAAAGGATTACGATTGGCCAACAAAAAATAAAACTTTTGATTTCTCAAAACAAAATAAATAAATCGTGGAGCCTCTATGTAAGGAAAGCAGCTTTGTATGAAATTTTTAGTGCACTTCCAATATATGTAGCTAGCAAGTGCAGGTAGAAATGGTGTGATAGGCCCGTGGCATCCCTATTGAAAACGAACATGCCTTTGAATTAGCAAGAAGAATAGCAGCAAAACACATAGACTGTTCTTATTTCAAGATCGTAACCATTTATCCGTTTGCTCCTTAGATTCGCTTACTGATTGTAAATTGCTTTACTTCATTGGACATAAAAGGACAATATGCTTGTATTTGTGAAACTGCTATATTTTTCTGTACAATCGTGAAAGAGCTACATTTTTATATCGCTCTATGATTCATTTTCTTCTATTCCATATGGACATAGGAAACTTAAAAACTACACCACAACTCTTAGGCTTGCCAAAATATGAGGATTATCACTCAGTCA